TTCTCTTCTTAAGAAGCATATCACTATCTACTTTACACTTCGTGATTCTCAAAAAGCTTTCTAGTTTCATTTCCTTGTTTTTCTTTTTCCATAGACTAGTCTAAGTAAGGGTCGGGACAATGTAACGTCAGGTAATGACCGGCAGACTGTACTTGTCCAGATTATTACATGATTAATTAACAAATAAATGTGAACATGAAACACTGATGGCCTAGCAACAAGACGAACATTATTGTAGGCTAATATGGATGTCATCTGGGTTAATTTTCACTATAAACATAACTGAGAGGAAGACAGCACAAGTCTGTGGTGTGATACGAGAGACAATAGCACTGGTTTCAGTAAACTGAAAATACTCTCATAACTATTTTATGTTTGGCTAATTTGTATGAATTTGTATTTGTATGACCTGCTTACACCACTCTGATGGTTTGGTTTAATAATGACCGGCAGACTGTACTTGTCCATATTATTACATGATTAATTAACAAATAAATGTGAACATGAAACATTGATGGCCTAGCAACAAGACGAACATTATCGTAGGCTAATATGGATGTCATCTGGGTTAATTTTCACTATAAACATAACTGAGAGGAAGACAGCACAAGTCTGTGGTGTGATACGAGAGACAATAGCACTGGTTTCAGTAAACTGAAAATACTCTCATAACTATTTTATGTTTGGCTAATTTGTATGAATTTGTATTTGTATGACCTGCTTACACCACTCTGATGGTTTGGTTTAGGATTAGGATTAGGGGTGGACCTTCCTGCATATGCTTTTTTTTTTCTAAAAATCATACGCTTCCAGATCACTTTGTACAAATTCATACACAGTAAAATCACCAGCTCATAGTTATGATTTCTCATTGGTAAACTGCACAAATGCTCTGATTTACAGCATTGCCATGGACGATGTTGAATATTAGGAAATATCACATTGCTAGATGGCACTATTGACCAATCAGAATGGAGTATTACTACAGACTATATTACGCGTGTTGTGCTACACACATTCATACTATATTGAACTTTTTTGATGGTCACTAAGTAATTACTGTACATATTCAAAGGAAGTACCTACTCTGATTTCGGACACAGCCAACGCATAAAAATGACAGCCACAAGAAGTGGGAAGTAAAACATTATTGTAGGCTCAGAAAGTGGGTGAATAATCAATGCTGCATTAATGACGATAATTATTTTAATGTGTTAAACTAATAGTATAATCACGGAAATTAACATGTTATTTTCAGAGCCTTTAATGTTAATCATTTTGCAAAGAAAGCCATAATTTGAAGCAGTTAATATGGCATACAGTATGTGAAACAGGCCTGTATGTTGTTTATATAAAAACTTCAGTGAATCAGTGGATAGAAAACAACTTGCTTATTTTTATCTAACATTTTTCTGAAACATATTGCTAGTCATTGAAAGTATATTGGTAGGTTGTTGGCATGAAATGAATCGCATGTGATCAGCATGATCTTATTTGAGGCTTTTTTTTTTCATAAAGAACAGAAAACACAAAGATCAAACACTGTTTATTGGTTCAGAGGTATTATCAGCATAGCTAATATAAACCTTCTTAATCTGGAAATATTAAAAACACACACACTAGAATGAAAGTTAAGAAAGCAGATACGATCCACTTTATCTGTGATGCTGTATCACATTTCATAAACACTGGAAAATTCAGATTCTTTCCACTCATGCAAAAAGCTACAAATAAATTAGTTTCAGCATTTGCCATCTGTCTGCTCTTGTATTTTAATTTTTTTTACTTTGGGTTAAAAGACAATAAACTTATCATACCATCTCCTTTTTAAGAATGTACATATAAAAGGCAGAGAAATAAATTGAGACCAGGGAAGAAAAAAAGTAGTTCTATTTTACACTGACTAAACATAAGCGTCTATGATAATGTCACCAATATTCATCAAGAACGGTTTAAGGCAATTTAAGACAAGTCACCAAGATTAAAAGTAACAAAATATTTGTTTATAATTTGATGAAAACACATTATGTGTCTTCTTGTCCTTATGAGCTTTACTGGACTGTACATTTTTGAACTCCCCTCTGGGGCCAGAAAGAAAATTAGATCAGAGCCAGACAGAAATATCTAAATAAGATCAGAGCTTATTATAAGTCATAATCTTGTAACTTAGAAATCACACTGAGTTCAGACAGGTTCAGGACACCGATATTTCAGTATGATGTAGGAACGCAGACATAAACAGCCACAAGACATTCTAATTTTCTCATTTTTCATGTTTTGTTGGGTCTTGCACTTCTGTGCCCTGGAACTCTTTCATGTAGCTACGAGGTCACATGCTGCCCATTCACATGCAGACAAGCATTGTCTCATTGTGGCAGGCTGACCTGAATAAGTGTCTGTGGCTTTGCTGTGAATATATTGGAGAACATCGTCTGGAAGTGCTGGCACTGGAGCTTCAGATCTGTAAGATGAAATTGAATCTCTATGGGAAACATGATCTCAAAGACCATCAGAAAAAAGAGAAGGTCAGTCTGCTGTCAAAAGTGTTTTATACTGAACAGCTTGATGTTTCTTGGCTGTTGTATCCTAAAATTGTGTTCTCAAATCCAGTACACTTTACTTAACTTGAAGTAGCTAATAGCCAAAAATGTATCAGTTTCTTTTGACAGTTTGACAGCATAAATGGAATTGATTTTGATTGTTGTTGGGCTTTTATTTTTGAGGTTTAGTCAAACTCTTGATTAAAAACACAAGACAAACAATAGCGTTTACTGCAGCAGTTCTGCCACCCACAGGATCAATCCAGTTGATTCTATTAATTTAAATTATGTTAAGAAACCAGCAAGCAAAAAAAAAAAAGAGTTTATTATCAAGTAAATTAGCTTAATTTCCCCATTGTCTTGTCTGATTTTCACCTTTCAAAATAGAGATCAAGCTAAAAAAAATATTTTACTGTTATTTACCAATATTTGAGTAGGTTGAAAGAGACATTTATTTTAAAATGATATAATTTTTCCTTTATCCATTCTTTGTTGTACTATAAACAGATATTGTAACTTTCAGAACTTTCCGATGAACTGATGAACAATTTTCAGTTTCAGTCTGAGAGTTTGTGTAGTACATTTCAGCATGTATTATTATGAATCTGCTTATGAATGATGCCACAGTTAAAAAGGTGCATGAAGTCTTAAAGGCACAGCTACAAGAAATTGTCAGAGAAAATTGTAATAAACAAAATGATGAACAAATGCTTAACTAATTGTATGAGCAGACCTCAGGGAAAGTTTCAATAATAAAAATGGGTCTGAAGTGCCTTTCATGTGAAGAGTGCTTAGATCATGGTGTCTGTTGCCTGCACTGTGGCCTGAAAAATGAGTTCATTTGGCAGCATTGGGAAGTACCTAGAGACACATGAGATAAACCGTGAGAATTTCCCGTGATTGCATAAAGGGCCTATTGATGGATGGTGTCAAGTGGTGATACAGAATGGTCAGAAAGTCCCTAAGTGAAGAGATGAACAGAACAAGAGGCTAAGTGAATTAGGGTTGTAGTAAGTGCTGTTATATATATATATTAAGGGATGCGAAGAGGCTGGATTGTGCATTTGCCACAAAGTGATCCGTAAAGGTCAAGGTATCTTGGAAGACTCCCAGGCATTTAACACACCAGGGGGCAACGACTGTGTGACCTTCAACAGTAATGGACAGAGAGTGTGTGCAGAAGTCACAGCCTGGAGGAAGAGGATGTCCGAACTGTCAAGGATGAGCTTAAGGAGATGAATAGGTGCCCGAGTGAAAATGTCAGAAGTGGCAGGTTGTCTTTTCTGTGCAATATATGTGGAAAGTAGTTCATTTCAGGAAATAACTCCCATTCAGTGCAAAAAGTACCGGTGGTTTTGTTCACCCATTTATCACAACCACACAATTTCACAGCATTTCTACTCAGACTTGCTTTGATATATAATCAGTGCTGGGAAGATTGTATCTTCTCAAGCAAGCTACTAATAATTTGAAAAAATTAGTAAACAAAAGTAAAAAAAAAAAAAAAGACAAACAGCAACATTTAACTAAATATAATTTATGCATATATTAATTATGGTAATATCATCATATTACTTTGTATATTGCTACAAAAAAGACGTAAACTGCCAAAAACCATCTATGCAGCGACTGATATTTATTAGTTTGTGTCGATATGAAGCTGCTGTTGCAATAGAATGTGGCAGAGAATCACATTGTAGTGGTTTGTCGTGCAGTTACTGAACAGTCACCAATATTTCATCAGTCATCATACTGTAAGTGCACACAAATATTTGCCAGGTTGCACTGACTGCTTTTATTCATTTTCTAACCTAATAGAAGACACCCAGGTACAGGATAGACCAAGGCTAGGTGTCACCCTTATTGCCCTGGTAAATATTTGCAGAGTAAATAGTCTATTTCTAGAAGCACATACCTTAAATATGTCCACTGTTATTGTCTAGGATACAGTTCAGTAAACACACTGACTATTTAATGTCAGGTTTCCATTGTCACTGCTGTCCTTGATTTTTAATAGAATGGCTTTTCAGATCATTTGAAACAAAAATCTGTATCATTTAAAAGGTTTTGAGTCATAGTTAAATAGAGATATTGTATATAGTTTGTGACAAGTAGTCCGTCTTTGCTATTTGTTTAATCAATACTGAAAAGAACCACATTCACTGGATTAATACTGATTTCAGGTTATACTAAAAAACTACAACAAACCAAAGTGATTGAAAGAGCACTCTGGTATGGTTTTATGGGCTTACACACCCTTATACAGGAAACTGTTCTTTGACATAAATTATGAAATGTCTTTGCAACATGCCAAGAACTCAATTTTTCCTCTTTGAAAATAGTTTATGCTTTCATACACTACATTAAAATGTTTTTTGTGGTCCTTGAAAATATCACAATCATAGGCATATTTATTAAATTAACCATTTTGTTTATTATTTGAACAGCTTTTATCTCCAGTACATAATTTTTTATTGTTGGCAGCATGCTCAGTGGTGAAAACATCAACTTAAACAGAGGCCTGGCCATTTTCTCAATGAATGTCAAGTAATGAAGTACTTCTGTACACCATCCCACATGTACTGTAGTCCTCTTGTGCCATGGAAACATGACGTGGATGAATCCATAGGGAATAATTTGACAAATTATAATTTATACTTAAATATACCTGCTTTAAATATAAATTACATCTAAGAAATTCCACAGACATTCTTTAGGGTGAAACGTTGTCTTCAGTGCAAAAGAGACATTTCCTCAGATATAATTTTTCATGTGTTCAGACAGGAAAAGCAGCATTGTTTTTATATTTAGAAAGCTATCGCTGCCATGTTACTAATGAGATGTGTGAATAAATGTTAATAAAAGTATTTTTATTTGATATAAATAGAGAGATAAATAAATTAAATGGTGTTTTGCAGTCTCTGCACTGGCAAATGCAGGAGATTGTCCGGGCGTTGTGTTCATCATTGTTTTCTCTCTTGCAGCTGTAAAAAAAAAAATGTGAATGAAACTGTCATTGATCAGATGGTGAGAAGTAGCTCAAACATGCCTCCCTAATTTAATATTCTCCATGAATCTGAATAACATTCAATGCTAATTCGCTGAAAAATTTACAATAAATCGGGGATTATCACATAATAAATCTTGAAAGGGTGATCAGACCCCGACATGGAGTGGAATATTACATGGCTTAGACGGCTAAATAAATAAATACAAGTATAATTAAATGGATGTGAAACATAGTTTTGCTCTGAAATTGTTTTATAATTGTATCTGTATATTATCTAAAACAACAAAACGAAGACCCCATCAATATTACAGTATAGGCCTAAAATTATTCCCGAAGTTCTCTGCGATAGAAAAAAAAAAATATATATATAAGAATCTCAAGTGAAAAAGAAAAAAAACACTCAAAGAAAACATAAGGCCTTACATTTTTAATATCCAACAGTGTGAAACGAATATGAAAAATGTTCTACCTTCAGAAGATTTGTTGAATCGTGTCACGTATGGTGTAATCTGTGTGTCCATACTTTTGGAATACATTCACATCGCTCTACATCAATCTCACAGTCCTCCTCACTGACTGTAGATGGAGGCTCTGGTTTAAAAATAAAAAGTGTTATCGCAGATGCAATAACTGTGCAAAAAATATAAATCCTGTTGTTGTGTGTGTACCTTGATGGGTCTATACTGAATGAAAGTTCATGCAATATAGCGACTAACATAAATAAAACGTAAACAAGGCATCAGTGCATTAGTCCAGAACAGGAAGTGGCAATATGTGAGTTGAAATTAATTACTCACTGACCTTGTTTACTGGAGGGGTACGTCACACATCGCTCAGCCATCCAGTCCCATATTAAACCTTTGTTGCATAGCCTCTTGTCTTCTGGCTTACGTGTAGGAGAGCAACTGCATACACGTACAAACATATTATTATGCCAACAGGCACTCAAACTCCTACATATGGTTGCCACTCAGCAAGGCTCAATCTGTAATTTCTCCAAGAGCAACACTGTTGTATCAACAGTGAATAGCACAGCATGGCACTGGAAAAACAAGGGTTGGGTCTAATATTTCAAGGAGTGACGTAGCACCACAAGAAATACCCAGCCAATTTTAGTAAAAATGCACTGCACTTAATGTTAGAGCAGAGGAATACTGATTGCTTCATTGATGACTTCATTCAACTCTACCTGTTTGTAATCAAGCTGGCATTTTCTAAAACTATTTACTGGAGAAACATTATAGTGAACATTACATCATGTACCTAATATTTCATGTCAAGGTTGCACCAAGTTTTCGCACTAACCTATTCTTTTACTAACCTCTTCTTGTGCTTCTCACGAACATGTCTGCGAATCAGTGCGTGTTCCTGGCACATACACTCAGTGTGATTGGCAATTTTCACCAGCACAGGCTCTGGTCCAGATTTATACGGAGCCAGACTCACACTCAAAATCTGTGAGGAAAAGGACGTCTTACCGTGAAATGTAACAATATGTATACATAAACACATGTTAAAGGGATAGTTCAGCCAAAAATGTAAATTCTGTTGTTCCAAACCTGCATCACTTTATTTCTTCTGTAGAACGCAAAAGGAGATATTTTAAAGAATGATACTAGTCGCTCTCTTCCAATCGATTATAATCATGGAACAAGACTTTAAAACTGGCTTTAAAAGTGGCCAGTATGAGGGTAAATAAGTAAATTATGACAGTATTTTGTTTATTTCATGGTGAACTATCCCTTTAAGTCTGTGTCAGACTGTTTTTGATTGTATATTGAATGAACTGCACATAATTTCCATGTAAATGAGCAAGTAGAAACAAATTTTATTGGACATTAATTTGTTTGTAATACCCACGCAATGCAATGAGTAGTGCTCACAGTTTTATTGACATAAGTCACGCTTGTATTACGGCAGGTAACTCCTTCTTTGTTGCAGCAGCCGCCACACCTGAAGACAGAGACACACGGGGGCTTAAAGAACACAGCCGTGTTGGTGCCCAGCTCTTTAGCCACATCTACACACGTCTCTCTGGGCATACACTGTGTTTTCTGCCATTCGTCATCAATATCTGGGGGGGGAAAAAAAATTTAGGTACTTTTTAGGTACATAAATCTGTGTACTTAGCACATGCTCCCAGGTGTGTCTGCATGAAGGTCTCAACCTTTTAGCATCTCTGGGCTGAATGATGTGGCAGCATAGCGTGTTGACCTGCGGTTCTCAGGCGGAGTGGCATATTCAAAGTGCTTCAGCTCGAGTCTGCATCTCCACAGCTTCCAGTCGGGGTATTCAGTCAACATCAGAAGCTCATCCAGACTCCCAGCTTCCCTCAGTTCCTGTTCCCACCTCTCCTGGTTTATGTCCTATGGACAAATGCAATCTTGAATGTGAAAAGAATGATGACAATGGGGCTGCTGTTTTTAAAGCAGCACTATGTAACTTTTTCTGTGTTCAAAATTTGCTAAATGTATATAATGAGCGAGTAAGTTACATCATGAATTCATCTTCCAAACCGCGTTTGTGTCTTATTCCGAATCACTACGGTACACTTATAATAAGTTCTTATATTTGGACTATTGTAGCCTGGTCGGGTCGTCACCGCTGCGGAGTAAAGCCCCGTTCACACCAAGAACGATAACTATAAAGATAACGATATTAGCGTCGACACCAGCGAACGATATCGTCTGTTTATTCTAGGCGCACATGCGTCTGCCACTTTAAATTCTTGAGCTCGTTACAGCAGGATGGATTCTGATTGGCTGTCAGTGTTTTATCGTTCATCAGCTGGAAAAAAAATCGTTTTGAAAGTGATCACAACGATATCGTTCCTCTGTATCGTTATCGTTGTAGTTGTGGTGTGAACTATGCTATTCTTTAATATTGAGAACGATTTTTAGAACTATATCTTTATCGTTATCTTTATAGTTATCGTGCTTGGTGTGAACGGGCCTTAAGTC